ACACTGCATCTTTGATAGCCGGGCACCATCCACTTGCTTCACCACATTTGCTTATGCACCCATTTTGTCTCCAGTGATCATATCAGGGAGTATCAAAGAGCGCCAGGTTATTAGAACAAAGTGTGGCCAAAAATCCGTCTGCTATCTTATAAAACAACATATAAATATATGTCCATTGGCCTCTATCCCTTTCATTATAAATTAATATACTTTCATATTTACATACCTATAGCTATACCTCTATAAATACCTTTTGCCTCCTACTATTTCCTTTATTTTCAACTTCCTCCTATCCCACATTCAGCTCTCAGTAATTCCTCTCAGATACATTGCATTTGATCAAACCCCAGCAGGTATTATATGCCCTCCTCACCATAATCCATAAATTTGAGTTGTCCTTTAAATCTCTCACAGTGATCTGAGAGCCTGGCTGTTGCTGATGTATACTTAAAAACGATGGGACTACTCCTTTGAAAATTATTAGTGCGTAATTTTCCATGGGGTATTAGAAATGCCTTAGAAGAAAGGTGTGGGAAAAGGACAACTTAGAAACCAAGTTCTGTCCACAGTTGGTCACTTTTATAGATCAGAATTAGTGACAAGTTCTCAATTGCGAAATTACGTTCACTTAATCACAAATGTGGTGACAATATTTTTTGAAGGATAAAAATTAGAGAAATTCAGAATTTTGAAGGATATTTGAGTTTGGTACACTTGTTTTTAATTTTGAAAAATGTAAATACAAAATAGTACATGGATCATGTAGCAAGCACCACTCAAATAATACCTGCAAAATACGAACATTGAGATTTTATAAATGGGACTGTGTAGTGCAGCTCACTATAATTTGTTTTATATGCTTCAATATTTGTTTCAAGGATCCAACATATTGAAACACATGGATCTTTGACCTTTACTCCTGATTGGCATTCTCTTCATGAATATACTAAACCGTTGCACTGCTAAATTCATTTGGTTGTTTCCAGTTTCTCTATTGAAAACAGTGCTTCATACTACTACAAACACAGAGGCTTTAGCTAACAAAAAGACCAGAATGGGAAGCTATTGTAGCTCAACATCTTCTCCGTCTAAGGCAGTGTTCACAAGCAATACTGCACCTTTGATTTATATCATGTCAAAACAGCAGTCTTGGCATCTTGAAGGGACACAAATAGTGTTGTATTGAAATGAACTTTGAGGCTAGGGAACCAAAAAAGGATTCCAAAGAGGCAATCTGGGGGCTTATAGGTACATAGGTTAAGTTTTCTCAAGGAAATTCTCATAGGCAGCCCTAGCTACACTGGAATGAGCAGATGCATTGTCATGATAGAAACAGTTTCTTGACACAACCTCCTTGGCTTGTTTCTCAGTAAGACATTTTTCTTACAAATGTGTTTGGCTAAGTAGACTAGAGAAACAAATTCAGATACCCATGTGTATAAGAAAGAGCAATTGTATATTGAGAAAACATCCCAGCCCTGTCCAGATCAAGTCCATAAGTCCGTTATTAGCTCATATGTCTGAAACCAACCTATAAATTCCTCTTCAGACTCAAGCAACACATGCAATGATGCTGAATGCAGGAAGATCACAGGCCAGTGGTTGGAAAGTCTTGTGGATCCAGTGGCAGTGGAAGCATCTCAGTGCTAGTAGGGGTCTCCACCTGGCTCCTTCAGCTCCAGGGCTCTAGCATAGCTCCGTGTGTCTTCTCTACAGGAATGTCTTGCAGGGAGTGAGTATGTGTCCCACCTCTAGCAGGCTATTTATCTCTTCAGCGTCTCCAAATAAGGTCATCAAGCTGTGACCTGATTGACAGGCTAAACTCCACCCCTTCACTCTTAAGTCTCAAATTGACAACAGATAATATAAATACCACATTCATATAAACATATAAAAGTTTCTGTGATTATCTTTTGTACTTTAAGAAAATTCTGTCGACATTTATCCCTTTGGAATATAAAAAAAAAAAGTCTACATAACCTTGTGAGCCAACTTCTCTTCCTTGAATTACACTGGCCCAGCACGTGCATCCCTTTGGAGGGTGCCATCTGGATTAGACCTCTTAGTGGACGATACCCTCGTGAAACTAAGACAAGTTCATTACAGAGAGAACGTCTCCTCAGCCACCCACTGATCTCAGAAACAATGTAAACATTTTGTTTGGAATAAAAATAACAATTACACTAATTACAGGGAAGAAGAAAATGTTCTCAAATTGATTGTACAACTCGTCTTGATATGGTTGAACTATAAAATTGTATGATATGTAGCTTATGTTCCAGTAAAACCTTTTTTAAAAGTACTGAGTGAGCTACAGCCCATTCTCACTGGGTAGTTGCAGAACAGCCTCAGGACTTAGTGAGTTGCGACCCCTTTGGGGGTCGAACGGCCCTTTCACAGAGGTCACCCAATTCATAACAGTAGCAAACTTACAGCTATGAAGTAGCAATGAAAATAATTTTATGGTTGGGGGGGTCGCCACAACGTGAGGAACTGTATTAAAGGGTCGCGGCATTAGGAAAGTTGAGAACCACAGACCTAGTGGAAGTGTGGTGGTCATGATCGTACATGGTAGACTGACCGGCAACACAGTCTCCCCCTGGAGAAGAAGACAAGGCTCTCTCTGACATAAGTGTGGTAGTTACATAATCTGGTGTTGGTTTGAGGATTCAGAGTGAAGGGGTGGAGTCTAGCCTGTCAGTAGTAGGTTGATGACCTCATTTGGAGGCGCTGAAGAGATAAAAGGCTCACTGGAGTTGGGACACATGCTCACTCCCTGCAAGACATCCCTGTGGAGAGGACACGTGGAGGGAGGCTGATGGAACCAGACCTCTGGAGCTGGAGAAGTCATGTGGAGACCCCTGCCAGCTTTTAGCTGCTTACAGTGCCTGTGGATCCACAAGACTTCTCACCCTTTGGTCTGTGATCTTCCTGTACTCGGTGTCATTGCATGTGTTTCATGAGTCTGAAGAGGACTTTGTAGATTGGTATCAGACATATGGGCTAATATTGGACTGGACTGGGATGTTTTCTCCATATTTCTAATTGGTCTTGTATATAAGGCTCTTTTCTTTACACATGTGAGTGTCCCTGACTTTGTTTCTGTATTCTACCCAGACTAACACATTAAACCTTCTGGATTTTCTTTTGATTTCCTGGGAGAATCTTTTCCAGTGAAGTCTCTCCCTGTGCTGCTATTTATAAATGAACCTGAATGTCTCCTTTGGCTTATCAGCACCAGAAAAATGACTGTGCAGGGAATTGTAAGGAGGTGGAACTGAAAGAGGCTAGACAGGTAGATCCCAAACCCCCTGCCATCATGTCAGTTCCAACTCAGCAATCCTCTGTAGGAGCAGACAGCCTCATCTGTCTCCCGCGAGGTGCCAGATTTGAACTACCAACCTTGCGGTTTGCAGCCCAGCACTTACTCAACATTGCCACCAGGACTCTCATTTAGAAAGGAAACCAAAACCAAACTCACTGCCATTGAGTCCATCCGGCTCATGGCCACCCTGGAGGGCAGGATTGGACTGCTGCTCTGGGTTTCTGAGTCTCTCCTCGTCATACTTTAAGATAGGAGCTGAAAATCCTTTTTGCAGCATTAACCCAATGGAATAGTCCATCTGGAGAGAGAGAGCGAGAGAGGGAGAGTCTTTAAGAGATTTAGCAAAAGTAGTCTTAGAGAATCGCAAACAGAAAGAACTTCAGGTGAGTGGAATTGGGACCCTGATTCATTTTTCAAGTGAGGAAGCTGGCCTCCCTTATCAACAGAGTGGGTCACATTAACACAAGGACATCGGTGGGACCTAAGTAGAATCAAACTCCTATCAGCTGTTGCTTGATGTGTATTCTTATTGTCTCCTTTTGGTATTATCAGGCTGATATTTTACACACTGTTACCACCGTTGCATCAGGGCACTTGACTTTTGGAAAAAATAGACATTGTATCTGCAGTTGGACCTTTGAGTAGGTTTCATAAGCCAGGCACTGCTACAGAGACTTAGTGAAGAGTTGGCAACGTACCACATGGGCTCTGACTTCAGGAGTGCTTGATGGAAGAGAAAACCTTGGAGTAACCGTAATGCAATGTGGTTGTACGATGTGGACGGTACCTCGGAACCAGTTGGATCCTGGATTAGCAACTTCGGGGGAGGGGGGGCGCTGTTAGGCTCCTCCAAATCCAGGTGTGCAGCCGAAAAGAGCATCTTCTCAGAATGAGTGATTTGACATTGACGGCGCCTGTGGCATTTCCTAAATCGGGGTGAAGAATTGCCTCGTGAGTGGTATCTGCTGCTAATTTCCAAAGACTTTTTTTTCCCACGAGAAGCCTCTCTGTGCCGAGTTTCCCCAGACAACTTTTGATTTGTTTCGACGTCACTTCTGGCCTCCTGGCACTGTTACGTCCTGTGACTTCCTAGCAGCAGCAAGAGCTGACGGTGTCCTGCGTGAGGCCCAGAGGACCGGGCTTTTACATAACTGGAGAGTGAGACTTAAAGAAGCAAAGCTGTGGTCTGCTTTGTCTTTCGGGAGCTCTTCCACACTTTGGGATGGTTCTGCTGGCCTTCCTCTGTGACCCTCGACCTGGGGAGGGTTGCAAAATGCTCTGTAGAAGGACAGTAGTGGGTGGGTTTTCAGATTCACACTCAGCCTTGGGTACAGTCCTGCAGGTGTTACAGCGTGTTAGGAAGCCTGTGTACGTATTTATGTGTTTGTGACTTAGACTTCCTGAGGATGACAGACACTTAGTTTGGGTAGCCTTTCCACTTCCTGCCTTAGAAGTTCCCGACTTCTAGGTTTTGTTCATCAGAAATCACATCTGCTCCTGTTCTCTGCTCTGAAGTGGCATCGTGGGCCCACTTCTCAGCAGAGGCCTGTCATGAGAGTCACATTGTGACACATGGGTGCCATCCCATGGGGTCGTTCCAGGGCAGCCCTGGAGGGTCGGGTCCCACCACCTGTTTGCTTCCTGGAGCTGACCTTGGACTCTGCTTTCTTTTCAGATTGCGGGGCTTTTGTCCACAAAGGCTGTAGAGAAAGTCTGGCCTCCTGTGCAAAGGTCAAAATGAAGGTAAGACATTTTGACCTAAAAGGAGGCTGAAAGTCCTCAGGAGTAGGGAGAGCTGAGCTGTGTGGTAGCTCTTTTACTTGAGATATTTTGCAGCCAAAATAACTAAAAAAATAATTTTTCTCTAAAGTGAGAATTGGCTTCCTGACACACTCGAGAATTTAAAACTTTCAGGAAAGAAAACACTTCCTGAACTTGTACACGTTGAACACACATCTTGTGTGTGTGCTTTGGGTACTTCTGTGCCCGTTAAAGGGGCTTCCTCTTCTTTGTGGGTGCATACTGCTGTACCGCTCACAGACACGGCATCTTAGTTCAAGACCCCGAGGGAAGCAGCTGCAAGTCAGGGCCACGGGCGCTGGATGGGCAGTAGGTAGGGTTAGGGTTAGACCATCTGTCTGGTAGCACTTTTCCCTACCAGTCTGTGTTCATGACTCTGGACACAGGTACTAGAATCAAAGAATCACTTGTGTGGTGTGACCTGCTCTGAGCTGTGTCTTAGGCACGGCTTATCAGGTGGTTCTGCGTGGCCCTTAAAACGAGTCTGGGTTAAGTGACCTTGTGGTTTCCAGTGTTCAGATTGCATATAAGTACCTTTTGTTCCTGGTCAGACGGGTGCTGTCCAGGTGCTCGGCACATTGCGAGCTTCTCCTTCAATAACCAAGCACACGGACTAGTGCGGAGGCTTCAGACTAGAGCAGGCACCTGCCCCGCCTGGAACGCTTGTTAGAAGACAGCTTGTAGGACACCAGATCCCACAGGTCTGGGGTGGGGTCCTAGAATTTGTATTTCTAGAAGTTTCCAGATGCTGCTGATATGGATCTAGGGTAGAGATGGCATATGTAAGTACCCTGAGCCATTTTCCACCCAAGGACAGATACTTTGGCTCATTTAGTATGTAATTTGAATTAATACAGTCACTTAAAAATCATACTACATATCAATTTGGATTTTAATTTCTCCTAAGAGATTGGAAGATCTCACAACCCTGCAGCTACTGGGCATTCCCTTATTCTGCCTCTCCATTTTTTCCATAGGACTTAAAACCTGAGAGTCGATATTTTTAAATGTCTGTTTATGTATTATGTCTACTCGTTTGGGTCGTTTTCCCACTAGAATGTAAGCGTTACACTTGGCAAGCACCCCGAAGGCAGACATCAGATTCGTCAAGCTGCCCTAAGCCCTGAGAGGGTGTCTGCCCTGTGAGCGCCTAAATGCCATCAGGGTGGGCGGCGAGGGCCGAGTGGCTGCTGCCTCCTTTACACGGTCCCGCAGGTTCCAGATTGCCCCCCTCTTGGCCCAACTTGCTTTAGTCACTGGTGTTGCTCTCCTAGCCCCGCAGGCCTCTACATGTGTTGTCTCTGGTGCGTTGGTGTGCTGCCATGGTGAATGTGCGGGATTCTGTAGAAGCACAGCCATCCAGCTGCAGCCGCTCCTGTCACGGAGCACTCCATGCTTCCATTAGAGTCGTTTCCCTCTTTCATTGCCTAAGCCTACGAGTTCTGTTACATGGTAGAACAAAGAGTAAATCAGCGTTTCACCTAAGGATTCGCACCCTAGAAACCTGAGTCACCAGAGGAAGAATGAAGGAGCACAGACACTATTTTCAGGATGCAGCCCTCCAGCGGGGCAGGCGCACAGCTGACATTGACTGTAATGAGATCACAGCCTAAGCAAGGAGGCTCAGGATCCTCAGGGGCGCCACGGGTGGAGAGAAGGCTTCACTGCGGAGGGACCCTTAGCCTTGACAGAGAAGACTACCGGGCTCCTGATGCTGGGAAGACCACTTTAAGCAGGAGAAACCGTGTCCGCACCCTCACCACTCTGAGCCTGTTGGGGAGCCTGGCTCACCATAGGTTGCTGGGGATACATAGGAACAGAGCAGCAGAGGGAAGTAGATGAACCCAGAGAAGGGGCCTGTACTAACTCTCCTTATTCTAATCTTGAAGCTGAGCACAGTGTTAAATGCGGGCTTCACGTTTTGTTTTTCTTCTTCCCTCAGCAGCCCAAAGGGAGCCTTCAGGCACACGACACGTCCTCGCTGCCCACAGTCATCATGAGGAACAAGTGTAAGTAGCTCACCCTCCCCTCACGGTTCCCTCTTAGTTCTTCTGGTTCTGGACTACAAAACTCTTACGTAGTCATAGTGGTCTTCATCAGAACGGAATGTCTGTTTTGTCGTACGTCTGACAAGGCTGGGGCTGCTCTCTGTACCGCACATTCATTGGCTGACAGCTACTGTCAGGCTTACGTTGAAGATTCCCGGAATGGTGCCTTCGTAGTTGAAAGCCAGTAATGCCCTTAGTGCCAAGTATTTCCCCGGGCCATTTCCATTTCCTCATCAGTGGGTTGACAATGACCGCGCTTTGTCTTCAGTGTCTCACAGTTGAGTGATCGAGTGAGATCTTCTTTGTTAAATTTCTTTTCGGACTACAAAGATATAGAAACTGTTCTCTTTTTTCTTTCAGTGACCTAAAAGGGACACAGGACTGAGTAAACTGCACTCCCCCATGTTTTAAGCTATCTTCACCAGTCTTTCCGGGTTTAATATTTCTTAATATTCTAGTCTCCATCTCCTGTCTTAGCCCTTGCCTCTCCTTGGCCTATCTGTTCTTCTAATTGACATAGGTATATCTCTGAAGGGAGCCCAGGTGTTGCTATTGGGTCCGCTCTGGGCTGCTAGCCACATGGTCAGCGGATCAGATCCACCTGCTACTCCTTGGGAGAAAGGTTGAGACTGGCTTCTGCCTGAAAGATTTCATGTCAGAACCCGAAGGAGAAATTCCCCTTCGCCCTGTAGAGTTGCTGTGTGTGAGTTGGAACTGACTTGATGGCAGCACCCTTGGGGGTTTTGTGTGTTGAATTTTAATTAAATCATGACATAACTGTGCTGATGCATTCTGTTCTGTTTCTTATTATCTTCGCTCAGTGCCGTTTTGAGGTTTGTGCATATTATGATATGATGGTGTAAGCCCGCGCTGTGGTTCTTCCTTCAGCTGCCTGTGCCACATGTTAATTATCAGCTTCTCCTCAAACAGACATCTAATTAACTTCCAAGTATCAGTCTGAATATGTAAGACAGGACCAGATGTCTTTATAGTTGACTTCTTGAGAAGCTATAGAAGAGTTTCCCTAAAACAGTGTTTTCAACGTCTGGTCCCTGGACTAGACAGAAGTACGACTTTTTAAGTGCAGACCTAGAGTCTCAGAAATTCTGGGGATGCAGCCTCACTCTGGTTGAGAACCACTGCTCTTGGATGTAGAGTGATAGCTAATGAATTACTTGTAGATAGCTCTGCAAATGGCTCTCCCACTCCACTCCCACAGAAAGGTGTGAATTCCTTTTAAACATACTAGAAAACCAAGCCAATTGCCATTGAATTGATTCTGACTCATGACCAGTCCATGTGGATTTCAGGGGCTTATTTTTCAGGACTAAATCACCAAGCCTTCTGAGACAACCCCAGGTAGATTCAAACCACCAATCTTTTGGTCAGGGGCCAAGCTTTTAACCAGTTGTACCGCCCAGGGACTCCTTAGACGTGTTAAGTCCTGTTATTACCACTTTGTGCATGTAGAAGGCAAGGGTCTTTGCCAGGCTGCCACCCACTCCTGTCGGTGATGTGCTGTCTGACAAGCTGTCAGATGTTTCTGCTGTAGGTGATCCGAAAGAACACAGGCTTCCTCTATCTCAGCTCTTTGAATATTGGTTTATTTGTAATTTGATTTTTTTTTAATTCTTAGAAAGGTACCTGTAACAAAACATTTGCCTTGTAATTTCTAAAATCTACAGCACTTTCATGTGGTTCTTTGTCTCCATTGTCTAGTGTTGCTCCAGACTTACTCTTAGTTTCTCATATATCCTTCCAGAGCTTTTTCAGGCAACTAATACCAAATCCAAAACTATCAAGTTGATTCCGACTCCTGGAAACACCCTGCATAGGGTTCGAACCATCAAGCTTGCAGTTAGCAGCCCACACTTACCCTCACTGCCACCAGGGCTCCTTGTATACAACTAAAGTAAATACTAATTGTGTAATTTACCACCACCGCGCTGTGAAAGAAGGAAGGCCTGGGATGCACTTCTACACCCTTGGGAGGAGCCTTGGTGGCACAGTTGGGTGAGTGTTGACTGCTCACCAAGAGGCTCGAACCCACCACCACGGTCCCTGTTCTTCCTGCACCACCGCTGCCAGCGAGAGGGCCATCACCTCAGGAGCTCTGTCTAGGGTAGCCATGAGCCGGACCCACTCAATGGCTGGTTGTCTGTGGGGGGTTGAAGGGGGTGGACTGTAACTGTAGACCTTTCTGTGTAAGTACATGGAGCTCTTCCTCGCCCGTCTGGTTTCTGATCAGCTGTGTAGGCTGTACGTGGCACCATAGCTTGTTGACTTTTAATACTCTCTCGTGTCATTTCAGATCTTTAGCTTTTTCAAAGTTTCATTAGAATCACTGTGAAGGTGTCTCCTTTTGCACATCATATAAGTATATCTTGGCGCATAAGCATCCCTTGAAAATGGAACTCTTGGATCAGAGGGTAGATGCATTTATCATTTCAAATCGGTATTGCCACATTGCCCCCCGCCCCCCGTGACTGTTGACACCGGGAGTTTAGATCCAGGGGCATGCCTTCTGAAGCCCTGGGCTGCTCATAGGCATTGATGGGTGAAGCTACAACTGGTGCCCTCTCTCCTTCTGCAGCCTCCCAGCCCAAGGAGCGCCCTCGCTCAGCAGTCCTCCTGGCTGACGAAGCCACCACCGCACCCATGTTTGCCAACAGGCGGTCCCAGCAGAGTGTCACACTTTCCAAAAGTGTCTCCATACAGAATATCGCTGGGTAAGTGGGGATTTACAGGTAACTCAGTTGTAATCATCAGGGCATTTGGCAACAGGATCCTTCTTTGTGAAGTGAAGCAATTGGTTAGTGCATCATCGGCCATTCGGAATGGGGGTGCACCCTGAGGACACTGTCACAGCCGCCATTTTTGTTAGTCCACTTTCCAAGAACCCAAGGTCTACAAAGATTATTTTTCAATCAAAATAAAAAGTGGGAGTCATAAAAAGATATAGCTATGAAGCTTAGCTGGAAGCACTAAGGGTCTCGGGCATCTGGCTCACTATCGTTCAGAGGAGCCTTTTTTAACCAGTTTTCCATTCTTGCATCTCAAAATCACTGCCATGCAGGGGAACAAGGTGGCAATTACCATGGTCAGTTTCCCACCACTCATTCTCACTGGGTGTGTTACCTATTCCTCTACGACATCGTTAAGGAGCTCAGGTGACACGATGGTTGAAGCACTTGGCTGCCAACTGAGAAGGCAACAAGGGTAGCCCACCAGCCACCCCCATGAGAAAGAAGCGACAGTCTGCTTCCATAAAGATTTACAACCTTTCAGGCAGTTCTGTAGGCTCTGTTCTATAGGGCCACCAAGGGTCGGAATCGCGTAGCCAGCAGTGGGTCCTGCATTGTGCCAGTGCCGCGCACTGGTGATTGCGGCCTGGGCTGTCAGCAGGTGGTGAGGATGAGGCTGCCGGCTGTTTGGGACAAAACTCTGCTTGCCATCAAATGCATTAGTCACTTCAAATAGAAGCTTCAAAACCAATTCTTATGTCTCTCTGAACCTGGGTTGGATGGAAATTCTTTAGTTTAAAGGGTACAAAATCTCCCCTTTTTATTTCCTAGCCCTGATGCTGACTTAAAAAAAAAAGTTTCAAGTATTTATATTTTGTTTTGTCTTTGTATTTTCATTACTTGCACAGACCCTCTTTTCAAAGTTTGTAGTGTTATCAAGGTTTGCACTACTGTTGCTTGTTTTTGTGTAATGCAACAGACATTTATTGGGTACTGACTAAGCAAGCTGGTGAGTTAGGGTTGAGAAAATTTAAGGCATACAGTTTCTTATAAGTGCTCAGTGTGTAGTTACTTGGAGAACGGTAAAAGAAAGTATCTAGTGGTTAGGCAATGAATTTCAAACAGAGATTTCTTATATACTGTGTACATAGTTTGAGGGGAGGGTGGAAGAGGTGTTCTTGGTACCTACTGTTAAAAAAAATGCTGAGGCTCATAAAACTTGGGGTTGAAGTGATGGTTAGTTAATATTTCCAACATGTGTAAATGACATTGTGTGTATTGTGTCTTCAGTCATTGCAGCTATGATAGCCAGTCTGTCGGGTACTCGCCTAAGCAAGCAAACCGGGGCCCCCAGAAGGTATTTGATGGCATCTGCTTCTCTTTGTCTCTAGAGTTGGCAACGATGAGAGCATGGCAAACACTTGGAAATTCCTGTCGCATTCAACAGACTCACTCAATAAAATCAGCAAGGTCAACGAGTCGACAGAGTCACTGACCGATGAGGGTAAGAGGAAGGCCAGGCCAGTGTCTTGCGGGTGCATCTCTAGACTCTGTATGTGCCACCAGCCACCCTGCGTGTGTCCAGGGTATCCTGATGGCCGCCTTCGTCCTGCCTAGGTGGTCTGTAAAGCACTAAATGGTTTCTAACGACTGACTGACCCACTATGCCTGTTTGTCAGGTCGCGGTGCCCTGAAGGTGGTGTGGGATGCTCTCTAGTAGGGTGCTCTTCTTCCCGTCGGTCTGTGGGCACGTTTTCTAGCACATCTGCAAGTCTGCTTACCTAAATGCCAAACAGACCAGGGCTCTTCCAATTCCCATAGGACTCACATCTTAATCAGTGTTGTTTGACAGATGTTCCTCACTCTTAACCAGAGTCTCGAATAGAGAGCCCTTGACTCGCAAGCAGGAGGTAGTTTCTTTTCGATTATCAGGATATCAGGCTCCATCCATGCCCCCGTGTCCGTGCGGATGTGTCTCTGTAAATACATACCCCTCGTACCCTGAGGAAAATCCAGCCTGGGCTTTTTAAGAGTCGCAGTTCCACGATTCTGATCTTGCTTTGTGGCATTTTGAGGAGTAGGTACAGACATGAACGAGGGACAGCTCATGGGAGACTTTGAAGTTGACTCCAAACAGCTGGAAGCAGAGTCCTGGAGTTGCATTGTGGACGGCAAATTCCTGAAACAGCAAAAGAAGGATGCGATCAAACGGCAAGAAGTGATTTATGGTAAGACTCCACCATTCGCTCAGCACTGCGGGCGTTTGATTCGCTACTTCCAGCGTTCTACCTGGTGGTGTGATGGGCTGTGGACACCTGAAATTTCAAGTAAATTTTCTTTTAAAACTGGGATAGAGATGCTGGCTTGTGTCCTTTTCTGCCTTGCATCCTTTCATTAAGCCGACTATTGTATTCATGTTGGTTTATGCAACAGTCCTAGAAAGAGATTGCTTATGAAAGTGTAGCTCAGTGCCTCAGCGGTACTAGTAGCTCATCCAAACACATTCATGTTCTAGGGCTGCCGTAAAATGTGAGAGGGGCTGAATCCATGGAAGGCGCCTTTGGCGATTCATAGAGTCCGCTCCAACTAAAGGCAAACCCATTCCCAGGGAGTGGACTCTGACTCATTGTGATCCTGAGGGACAGCGGACAGCTGCTCCGCAGATAGGGTCTCCCAGGCTGTAAGTCTGTAGGGGAGCAGACTGCCTCCCCGTCTGCAGTGGGCTCAAAGCTACCCTCCTTCAGTTTGGTAGCCCAGTGCCTCGTCCACTGTGTCACCAGGGCTCCTCCAACGTGCTTGTCATCTGAAAGCAATGCTGAGTCAAGGGAAAGCTAGAGGAATGAGGCGAGGACACTGTTGGGGCCCAGGCCCCAAGCTGACACGGGACTGTACAAGGCCGTAGTAAGACTGCCGCAGGGGGTGCTGCAGGAGAAGGCTCCTGAGCCTGAGCTTTGTCCTCCCCCACAGAGCTGATGCAGACAGAGTTCCACCACATCCGCACACTCAAGATCATGAGCGACGTGTACAGCCGGGGCATGATGACCGACCTGCTCTTCGAGCAGCAGATGGTGGAGAAGCTGTTCCCCTGCCTGGACGAGCTGATCAGCATCCACAGCCAGTTCTTCCAGAGGATCCTGGAGCGGAAGAAGGAGTCTCTGGTGGATAAAAGTGAGAAGAACTTTCTCATCAGGAAAATGGGTGACGTGCTTGTCAACCAGGTGAGCAGTGGCAAGGGTCTCGGCCCTTCTCGGGTGCAGTGGAGTCTCATCAAGTTGATTTAGTCTCTCTGAGACTCGGTTTCCTTTCCTATAAAATGAGGCCAGTAAGTTGTCTTCCCTGTGCTATTTTAAAAAGTTCAAAAGAGCATATGCTTAGAGTATGTAGCACATGGTGGCTCGCTAACAGAAGATAGCTTTTCGTCCTCAGAGACTATACCTTGATCAGGAACAACGTAGTTTAAAGTAAGATAATATGAGAAATCAGAAAATGTGTGGAACACTTCAAAAGATCTCATTTGTCTAAAACATGGGCAGACTTATGTGGCCCAACGCCTTATTTTCAGAAAAATTACTCAGCGCCCTGCTGACAATGAAAAACATTTGTTCTCTAGCCCATCGTCCAGAATACAGTGTAGGTGTCTGCATTCCCGGGCCTGCCAGGAGGACGGCACTGCCGACTTTGGGAAACACGGTCTCAAGCCAACTTGTTCACAGGAAAACAAGCAAAAGATGTCTGTGCAGTACTTCATACACCGAGGGGTTTCCAGAAGCTCACTGAACAGCGGAATTCAAAATTACTAGAGTTTTTCTGTAAATGTTATGAGACTCCCTCATGTAGTATGGTTGCTAGTTCATATGAAGTATGGTTTCAGTCCTGTCCCCTAAAGTGTTTTTGTCTGAAAGTTTTAATAACTTCTCAGTGCATTCTTTAATAAAAGTTAAGGCAAGATACCTTATCAGGTAGATCTTTTTCTCCAGCAAATCTCTGCTTCAGTACTTGAGGATTAGAACTTTGTCTAATTCTCTCATCGCACTCATGATTGTATTCAGATATCTGCTATGCACATACTAAAGGCAAGATAAGAACTACAGGGTACACCTGGCATTAACCTCTGTCTCGTGGAGCTCGCCTTCCTGGAGTACAATCAGGTGTGCTATCAAACATATGCAATGGCAGTGTGGCCGTTGTTTTCACACAAGCATCTGCCAGGACAGGCGGGCTCAGCTCAGCAGTGAGTGTGGTCAAGCCTATTAGCGGGGATCTTCCCTCCCCCAACCACCCCCTCTCTCACACATTGTGGTTTTTCTCCTCTCTGCCTCTCCACTGCCCTCCCACCTGCACAGGTATCTACCTCACCTTCCCTGGACTTGGATCGCCACCTGTAGCTTCTTGGTTCTGTGCAAATCCCTTTAGAAGATGTTCAATGGTGGGATTCAGATATTACCGGTGTCTTAGTTCCATGTGCCTGTGCCTGCAGAGCACTTGATGGATGATGTAGCCAGGCTCCTTAAAGTCGCCTTGCTTTCTCCATTGATAAATGGGGAAAGGAAAGGCTACCCTCGGCCCCCCCCCCCATCAGAGTTTTTTATAAAGTCAATTGTTGGTAAAACTCCAGAGAGCTTTACCACCGTGGAAATTGATGCTTTTGTGTCATGGACCATAAGCACAAACACATTGATTTTCTTCCCCAAAGTGAACACGTCTTCAAAGAAACCATTGAGCTTGCACACACTTGGACATATTGTAAGGGCCATGCAGTTATCTTGTTGGGACTGCTGGGCTGAGCTCAGTAGTGTAACAGAGCCAGGGTAACGAGTGAGCTGGAGCTTTTAAATGAATTAATTAAAAGACATACATGAACACTTTCATCACCCCCAAAAGAAACTGGGTATCCCTCTCGTTTCTCCTCCTCATTGCCCACTAACTTACTTTTCGTGTCTATGAATTGGCCTGTTCCGGACAGTCCAGTCCACGTCAATGAAGTCCTATAATACGTGGCCTAGAGTTACTGAGTCCTTTCACTTAAGCTCGTTTTCTGAGTTCATCTATGTTATACTACTCATTCATAGTTTATTCTTTTACTTCAAAACAATTCCCTGAAATCGGCTTATCACATTCATTCATTGGTTGATGGCCACCTGGGTCTGCTGCCACGTCGGGGCTGTTAGGCTTTTTCAGGTGGACCGGATGCCTTTCACGAAATGGCAATAGACTCGAGCCCTTTGGGTTTGAGCGTGACTTTGATTCTCCTTCCTCGGCAGTTTTCCGGTGAGAATGCAGAGCGCTTAGTGAAGACCTACGGCAAGTTCTGCGGGCAGCACAACCAGTCTGTAAACTACTTCAAAGACCTGTACACCAAGGACAAGCGTTTCCAGGCCTTCGTCAAGGTACTCGGTGGCATGTGGCCATCCCTGCATGTGTCCTTCTAGTTGGTGGAGCCTTCACCCGGCGTAGCTCCTGACTCTCATTCTGCCCCTTTTAGAAGAAGATGAGCAGCTCTGTAGTAAGGAGGCTTGGAATTCCAGAGTGCATACTGCTTGTAACCCAGCGCATCACTAAGTACCCAGTTTTATTCCAAAGAATATTACAGTACACCAAAGGTGAGTCTCCCTGGTGGCTCAGTCTCCCAGGCCATGGGACTGTTCCTGTGTGTCCAGTAGTTCATGAGACCCCCTGGGGAGGGGCATGTCCATGCTCTAGCAGGTCCCCAAGGAACCGTGAATTTCATCTTTCAGTCACTGTTCTCAGTGAAAATTGAAAGTGTTCTAATACTAGGCATAGCGTATGTGATAGCAGGAGAAGGGACCAAGGATGAGTTCAATAACGTGAGCAACTATACTTGCAGTAGCCATTGAAACGCGTGTTGTTCCTTTCTCTAGTTCTTTCCATCCCCAAAATTGCCTGGTTCCTTCTGTCTTAGACCACAGCATGGAATTGCATGTTTTCTGATCATTGAAAACTCCCCAGTCAGGGTGCGATGTAGCAACGATGAAACATACAACTTTTCCTCTAGTTTCTAAATGCTTCCTCCTCTCCCCCACTATCATGATCCCAGTTCTACCTTACAAATCTGGCTAGACCAGAGGATGTACACAGGTACAGATAGAAACTGGAAACACAGGGAATCCAGGGCAGATGATCCCTTCAGGACCAGTAGTGTGAGTGGTGACACTGGGAGGGTGGAGGGAGGGGGGTTTGGAAAGGGGGAACCGATTACAAGGATCTACATGTGACCTCCTCCCTGGGGGACGGACAACAGAAAAGTGGGTGAAGGGAGACGTCAGACAAGGCAAGATATGACAAAATAATAACTTATAAATTATCAAGGGTTCATGAGGGAGGGGGGAGCGGGGAGGGAGGGGAAAAATGACGAACTGATGCCAGGGGCTTAAGTGGAGAGAAATGTTTTGAGAATGATGAGGGCAATGAATATACAAATGTGATTTACACCATTGATGTATGTATGGATTGTGATAAGAGCTGTATGAGCCCCTAGTAAGACAATTATAAAAAAAAAGAAAAGAAAACTCCCAAGTGTCTTTAGAATTGAAGTGATGGCAGAGGCAGCAAGACCTCTGCTACACTGGCACGACCTCAGGGCAATGTGAGGAGGGAGTGAGAGGGCATGATACCCCTCTGCCCCTGCAGCTCAGACGTCTTCTTTCCCTCTAGACAATGAGGCAGAGCAGGAGGATGTAGCCCGGTCCTTGAGCCTGGTGAAGGGCGTGATTGGAGCTGTCGACAGCAGGGTGGCAAGTTATGAAAAGAAAGTGCGTCTCCATGAAATTTACACGAAGACGGACAGCAAGTCGATCATGAGGATGAAGAGCGGTCAGATGTTTGCCAAGGAGGATTTGAAACGGAAGAAGCTTGTGCGGGATGGGAGCGTGTTTCTAAAGAGTTCAGCAGGAAGGCTGAAAGGTAAGGCTCGTGCATGGCGCCGCTCAGTGTTTTCCCGAGGAAGGCAGGCGAGGCCCACGGGTGTGAGGTAGGAGCCCCTGCCCCACCCCAAGTTCTTCCTGCAGACCCACATCCAGCAACCACACGGGAGCAGCAATATTGCAGGAATCATGGCCGGACTGCACTCAGTAGCCCCCAGAGACACACAAAGCACAAGAAGACGGTGCCCTTGAGAATAGGGAAATGCGTGTGAACAAAACAAACAAAGGATGGCATTAATATGAAAATACAAGCTTTTAAAGCCCATCCTTTCCCCTAGCAGAAGTGGGTAGCACATTTGGGTGCAGTTTTAAAGAGGGAAACAACCCATTTCACAGCTCACAGACTGAGGTGAAAGGGAGTCCCTAACGAAAAGGTTGGGAGTTGGAGTTCACCCCTAGGTGCCTTGGCAGAAAGACCTGACACTGCTTCTGCGGAAATCAGTCTCTGAAAACCCCCTGGCTCACAGTTCCTCTCGGGCATGACATGCATGCAGTCGCCTTCAGTCTGCATCAGCGCCACAGCAGCTGGCTCTGTGAGAGTAAAAATAGCATTGGTATCAGAATAAAGCAGCTTGTAAGGGTTACCCTGGCTCAGAATTGATTCTGGGGCACACGACAATAGGTCATTGTATGTGTTATGACGTGGACAATGAGTACCAGGAGGAGGGGTGAGGAATAGGCAGCTGCCTGGGAATTTTCTAGAGACCTCAAAGGTGGTGGCCTTTCAGATGTCTTCAAGGATGAAGAGGAGGCTGCTGGGCATGAAGGGAGAGAGCGTTCCAGGTCATGGGGAAGCCGGGCCTGAAGCTTGGGCTCTAAAGGGCCTGGGCCGTGCAGGTGCAGGGAGGGACAGACAGACGGCGGCAGTCTCCGAGAGCAGAGAGAGGGAGGGGGAAGAAGCCTGGAGCCCTGTGTAGGCCAGACGGCCCTGGAGTGCACACTGCAGAGGAAGACCCTCACAGCTGGGCAGTGGGGGGGTGTCAGTTCATTCCGACGCTCCTGGTGACTGCTCCCTCCGTTGCAGAACAGACCCAGTGCTCCAGGGGGCTCTGAGTTGCTTCTGGGTGGGTTTAGCTCTGATGGCACAGAACAGAGAGTGGGTCACGGTGAGGGATCTTAGACCGGGAGGAATTGAAAATATGTGTAGTCCAAGGGCAGGTAACTTCTGCGAGTGCAGGAAGAAGGGCTTCTCCGAGGCGCTTCTGGTACACTCAGACCCCGGCCGCCCCGGTGAGCAGCAGCCTGCTTACCTGTTAGCGCCACCCAGGGGGTTCTGAACTGCAGGAGTGGCCATGAAGCGGAAGGGCAGGTCCATTTCAGAAAGTAGGGGAATCCCTTCCTGCCACCCTGCGGCTTGGTCTCAGACTAAACAGTCCCTGAGGCCCCTTCCTCTTAGCTCTGCTCCAGGACGTCCTAAGAACCCTAGTTCAGGGCTCTGCCCACACTGCCACTTGGTCTGTCTTGGAGGCAGGTTGGCTGTCCCCAAAATACCAGCTCTCTCTTTAAGAGCTTGAGTTTCCTTGAGCTGCCTCTGCCTGGAGCCAGCACTGTATTCTTCCCTCTGCGTGGTACATTCATCCCCCTCCCCTCCCCCGATAAAACCTAATCGATTCCAGCTGTTGGAGGAAAGCTGTGGCCCCGCCGATGGCAGGATGATAGGTCTTCTGCTTCAAATGCCTCCACTGGAGAGAGGAGTGGTGTTTAGTCTTTTTCACCCCCAGTGAACTCCTGCCAAGAACAGCCTGCTCTGTACTGGGTGCCCGCCGAAGGGGTGGGATTGGTTTTCTCGGATCCACTGATACGGAGCATAGAAACTGAAGGGTCTGTGTCGCGGGGGGAATAAATTATTATTTTTTTGGCAGCCAACTGAATCATTTAAAAGTAAACATTCAAAACACAGCTAGTGGCAATATGAGGGAAATTCCTGTGGTCTTGACCGAAAGCTAGCCCTCCACCGGCACTGGACACCCACGCTTCTGTTCCCTTGTTAGTTTTGCCGTGAATTTCACGGAAAGGGCAAAGGCTGGAGGAGAGGCCAGGAGGAGCCAGACCACCAAGGAGCAGGCTTGCCCAGGGAGGGGTAGGCGCCCCTCTCCAGGCAAGGATACGGAGGGCTCACGCGTCAGCTCGAAGTGAAAAGCTTTGTCCTCAAGGGAATGTGGAAAATGCCATTCCCAGGCTCCTGGAAAATTGGCCATGGTGGGTTATGGGATTCTTTTTGATTCATGGATCTGACTAGAGATGTGACTGGATTTGAGAAGAGTTGAAGGCTCTTTGCTGTCCGGCTAGGTGGCGCGGTGTGGAGGCCCCTGTCGCAGCATGGGTGTCCTTGGGCCCTTGTCACGTTGTTTTACCTTATGTCACGGAACAATTAGCTGAGACATACAGTCTTCTCTGGTGCAGGGAGACGGAGTTGACCGGCAGGTGTGGGAGCTAGGGAAAAAGCCATCATACCCAGCGTGAAAAAGGGGGGGGCCTTGGTGTGCGCTGGCCCTGCTCTCCTGGGAAGAGAGCAGGAGAAGTCGGCCTTTCCATCGGCGCAGAGACATGGGCGGCTCCCCTTTGGGCAGCTTTCCTGCTCGCTTGTCCCAGGCCCACCCCGCGCATGGAGTCAGACATGGAGAAGTGGCTGGCCCGTGTGTTTCGTGGAGGATTTGTGACATCACATCTGTTGGGGTCCAGCTTGCAGGTTTTATTGCTAAGAGTATTGCCCTACGGGACATACCTTTCCAAACGGATTACAGTGAACCCTCGTTTATGCGGTTAATCGGTTCTAGACCCTACCATGATAAATGAAATTCGGCGAAGTAGGATTCCTTATTTGTAAATCAAATGTTTTCGTAGTTAGAGCATAGAGGACATGAAAAAACACCCTTTAGTCACCATTACACTCGTATTACCCAATTTATTAAACGAAAAAGGGAAAATACAGTAAAACATTTTGGACGTTACAATTATCATTTATTATTTATTATATTATTTATGGCATCAAGCATGTACAGTATGAGCCAATCGGTGGCAGTAATGACAGAGCATGCGCTGTTACGCAAAAACCGCGATAGAGTGAAGCCGCGGAAGTCGAAGCGCGAAGTGGCGAGGGTTCACTGTACTTCGGCGTTTCCCAAACAAAGCTTCAGTGAGAAGTCCCGTTTTCAAATGCCTTTAAAAACGTCATGACCAGGTCTGGATCCTGCAGGCCTTTAGAGCTGTTTCTGTGGAAGAGGGTAATCCCAGGATTTGCCCTAGTGGGAGTGTATTGCCGGGTAAGTCTCTGATGTAGACCTTTCTGACTATGCTTAACCATTCTCTTTCTCCATCCTGTTTCATGTTCCAGAGGTTCAAGCAGTTCTGCTCACTGACATCTTGGTGTTCCTGCAAGAAAAAGACCAGAAATATGTCTTTGCCTCATTGGTAAGCAGAATTGTCATTCAGTTCTGTTTGTAACTAATCGTATTAACAACAGGTAAGTACTGGGTGTAAACACTAGACTACCCTACTCCCTGTTAACCCCCTACCCCTATCCCACATCATCTAAATTAACTGACGTAAGACAAATATCCCTGTGTAGTTTGTCATAGACCCTCACAGGTTTCTGCTTCTACTCCCCAGTGACCCTGTTCTGGTTCCTGCAGTGCCACCCTTTCAGTGCCTTGGACATGGGGAACTTTCTTCTAGAGAGAAACCTGCCCCGGGGTCCTTCTACCGTGTCAGGCTCCATAAATCCTGTTCACCTGCACACCTGACCAGAACCTTCTCGGTCGTGGTTGATCATTTGGAAATCTTCCAGTGTAATTAAACTGTCATTAAATAATAGGGCATCTTGCCCTCGCCCCCTCCCCCTCCCTGCAAGCTGCCATCGTTTGTTAAAGCAGATGCTTTTAAAACTACAGTAGGATCTTTGTCTTACAGGCACAGTTGCCCTGACGAGGTAGAATATTACTACGCTGTTTCTGGTACTCAACCCCTCCCGCTTTTCCAGGACCAGAAATCCACAGTGATCTCTTTGAAGAAGCTGATCGTCAGGGAAGTGGCGCACGAGGAGAAGGGCTTGTTCCTGATCAGCATGGGCATGAAAGACCCCGAGATGGTGGAAGTCCATGCCAGCTCCAAGGAGGAGCGCAACAGCTGGATCCACAGCATCCAGGACACGATAAACACGTTGTAAGTGGAGCAGCCGCCAGGCGCCATCATGGTCTGGGCAATGGACAGGCATCGGTATATCTCAGGAGTGCCTTGCTTTGTCTTTTTTGGGTGTTTTAGGAACCGGGATGAAGACGAAGGGATCCCGAGTGAGAATGAGGAAGAAAAGAAACTGTTGGACATGAAAGCCCGGGAATTAAAAGGTAAGCCAGGGGCCGTGCTGTGTGGCACCGGCCTGTGCAGTGTCTGCTGCAGCTGCGGCAGACTGAGGTGGTCCCCGGGCTGCGGGCGGCTCCTGGGTGTCAGAGCTGTCCCAGCAGGGGCTGGAAACGGGGCCCACGTGGAATGCTTTGAGCAGAAGTGAAACCAAGTCAGTGCACGCTGGGCTCCAGGAACACGGCTGTACGGGTGTGTCTGATAGATGAGGCCATACGCCCTTGCCACGTGGTCTTCGTTTGTGTCACAGAAGAATTAGCAAGATTTACGTTCTTCTCGAAGATGCAGGCGGCAGGTAGAGAAAAGTCTTTGGGGGAAAGTAGGCTCCGGTTAATCTGTTTGAACCCTCCTGCCAGTCCTTGGCTCTGTCCACGGCCCCCCTGACGTCCATGCATTCCCAACCTCACAAGGGAGGCATACTGTTATTTATTGGTTATGTCTCTTCGACATCCCACCCCCATCCACCCCCAGTTAACAGTCTGAGGGGCACAGAGGCCACGTGTGTCATCGGTGGCAGAGCTGGAATTCCTACCCTGTCTTTTCAACAGCTGCCCGGGTGCTCGTCCCTCTTTGATGGCTAGTGTTGGGTGCTCTGATGGGAGTAAACTCTCCCCTTTGGGAAAACATAAGGCTCAAAGTCGCATGAACTTAGCATTGAGGGAGTTTAGTTAGTCCTCCAAGATGTGCAGTGATGTGTTTTTTGTTGTTTTTAGTTCTGTTTCTGCCAGGGAGGGGGCACGATGAGCAGAGTGAGTCCAGGGCTATTACTTTGTATTGACTGAGGTGCAAGCTTCCTTCTGGTAGCATCACTGAGCACCTGGGCAGGCGTACCGCTTGGTTCTAGGGATGCAAGGATTCCTAAAACAGAGCCCTTACCCTGGGGCAGGTTGTTGTTGCCGGCTACATCCTAGCTGCGTGTGAACCATAAGGTCAGCAGTTCAAATCCACCTCCCTGAGAAAAAGGTGCGGCTTTATACTGCCCTCAAGATTGCTCCTCCGGGAGCAGTTCCATGGGGTCCCTATGAGTCTTAATGGACTCGATGGCAGTAGCATGAATGACCCACGGGAAGCTCGTATTCCAGTGAGAAAGACATACATGCATGTATGTCTGCCCCGAGTAGTTTTACGGCATAGCGCAGATGGAGCGTGTGCAGCTCACAGACTCTGCCTGGTGGATTAGTCTCCCTGCGAGCAACTAGAGCAGAAACCATTAGTGCGCCTGGTCAGGGTGGGAGAAAAGGTATGAGACATTGGGTACTACATGATGTGAAGGCAAGAGAGCTTCTCAAGGAAAATGATGGATTTCCTTTTAAAAAAAGAACGCCTTAATGTGTGCTGATGGGAATTGGGAGAATGGTGTGAAAGGGCCGGGCCAGCCTCGGGAAATGGAAGGAACCGATGGAAGGCCTTGGGAGTAGGTTCCCAGAGAAGTGGGTCCGGAGGGACTGGGTATGCGTGCTGTGGGTGTAGGTGTCGGGCAGAGGGAGGGACACGGCCTCTCCCAGGTGCAGGGCAGCCTGTGTGAGCGGGTGTGGTTGGCCCAGGAAGAGATGTGGTTGGCTGAGGAGAAGAGATGGTCGGGCAAGAAGGGAGGGAAGGTTGGTTTCTGACATGCTGCGACGGGCCAGTCAGGCATCCTGTGGAGACAGAGGGCTCCCCAAACAGCCAGTAAGGCAGGGTTTGCGATGAGGCTTTGTGAGTGGTCAGCATGGGGAAGAGGTGGCGATTCCCCGGAGGGAACTCTGGGAAATAAGGAAAACCCACAGTGGAACCCCGCAGGGCCCCCAGGTCCATCATTGCAGGTGGCGGGTGTGTAATGTGCTGCTGAAGACAAGAGAAGCCCACAAGGGCCCCCGAGTTGGGGAGGAAACCCATCCGTGCTGAGAAAAGGCAAATGAGAGGCCTCACTGGATGGTGGCCAGAGCCGCTACAGAGGAGTAGGAGGAGGGACAGAGGGCAGAGAAAGAACTGGATGGAGAGGGTAAAGGAGAGCATGGTGACACACACGTAGGTTAAGTGCTCGGCTGTTAACCAGAGTTCGTCATGAGTGTCCACCCAGGGATTCCTAGGGAGAAAGGCCTGGAGACACAGCACTGAAGGGTCAGTGGCCCAGGAGAGACGGCGCTTCTCCAGCACGTGGCGGTCTCTGTGAGTTGGAAATGACTCCGTAGCAACTGGTTTGGTCGAAGGAGATGGAAACAAAGTGCAGGCTGATCAGAAAATGTGTGGTTCTCTCAGAACTGCTGGTGTCTGCCTAGAAAGACATGAGATAGTCCAGAAGTTGATAGAAACGGAATGGTCCTGTCCATAAATTGCCACAAGGTGGCGATCACGTATTCAAAACCCAAACTCAACCCTGCCTTGCAGAGAGTGAATTCCAACTCTGAGTGACCCTATGGGATCAGGGTAGGACTGCCCCTGTGGGTTCCCAAGACTAAATCTTTATGCGAGTCGACGGCCTCATCTTTAAGGCCTTCAGGCTACCAGCTCAGCCCTAGCCCATTAAGCCACCCGGGCTCCTGATCACCTGTTCACCTAATGATAAACTCAACAAAATCACAAGAACCCTTTTCTCCATCTGTCCCGCAGAACAACTTCAACAGAAGGACCAACAGATCCTACACTTGCTGGAAGAGAAGGAGCTGATTTTCCGGGACATGACGGAGTGCAGCACACCGCTGCCTGAGGATTGCTCCCCAGCCCACAGCCCCAGGGTCCTCTTCCGCTCCAGCACCGAGGAGGCTCTCAAAGGAGGCCCTTTAATGAGAAGTGCAATCAATGAGGGTAATTCCCATTCAGCATGACTGCGTGCAGTCTTCTCCAAGTGCTTTACATGCTAATGTTATCTACCAGGTTCACTTTTTTGTTGTAAATAAGAAATCACCAGAAAGCTATACAAAGCAAGTATATCACATAGCACATTGTTATCGAGTGAGCAATGCCACCGGTAACTAACTCAGGAAATAGACGTGGCCGCCAGCTCCCAAAGCTCCAGCATGTACCCTGTGCCACTTCACCAGGGACAGGCCTTGTGACTCTTATGGTAGTCATTTGTCTGGGTGTGAGTTAATACTTTAATTGACTATTTGTAGATACTATGGTTACAACTTATGTTTTTGGCATATCTTTTCGGAGTTTTAATTGATAGCTGAACCCTCCCATTCTTCTCCATGTAAGCTTCTCCCTGAAGCCAGTGGGTTCCCACAGTTTGGGTTGATTGGTAGAGCATTGCTCTTGTTGTCCTTGCCCACGTCCTTCATATTAGTGTGGGACCCAGAGGCCATTTCTCCTGTGGGATTTGACCTCTGTATGTGCCCCACATGGCCTTAGGGGATTAGATTTCTGGAAAGTGCTTCTGAAGATTTCCTGCCTCGCCTTCTCTTCCTTATACCACCTGGGCCCTCTGTTTTCTTTCAGTCCTCTTGTCCTGCCCTGCTGGGTTTTGTCACTCCCAGTACTTTTTGTGGGGCCCTACTACCCCAGAGAAAAAGCCATTCTTAGACACACTCGAGAGCCCAGTAGCTGAGGCTATGCCGGGTCCTCCGACCCCTCACCATGGCAGGGTGCGGGAGCCCTGCCAGCTGCTGTGACTGCCCTCCATTAGTGCACTGCACTCCCCAGTCAGGAATGCCTTTGGGCTCTCTCCAGGAAACCACTCTGCCTGCCCTGTGTTGGGAGCGGACTTCAGAAAGTGCATGGGGAAATTCCACTATTTCCAACACATTTTGAAGGGTTTGCCTTCCTGAAGCCCCTCACATTACAGTGTTCCCAGGCCTAATGGAACCCATTGAGTCGCTGCAGTGCCCAGAGAGCCGATGTAGGCTTTCCCAGGCCACCAGTCCCCAGGAGCAGACATCCTCATCTCTGTCCCACAGGGTAACCTTGACTTTAAAACAACACACTTGTAGTCAGCAGTTTACTGCTCACCCAAGAGCCCCGGCAGGGTCCCAGGCCTCGTGTGTGTGAAAGGCACTCTGGTAGAGCACTGTGTTGAAACAGCAAACTGCTAACCACATCATCTGTGGTTCAAGCCCACCAGCTGCCCTACAGGAGAAAAAGGAGGCTCTCTGCACTCATAAAGACTTAACAGTCTCAGAAACCCTACGAAACAGTTCTGAATTCTGTCTTAGAAGGTTGCTGGAAGTCAGAATTGATTCAGTGGTCAATGGTCCAGGCTGAGTTTTCAGTAGGATCCAGCTCAGATCTATGGCCTGAGCTGACCCTGCCCTCTGAGCAAGGAAGGGACTTCCACAGGCCACTTTGAGCCCTTTGCTGATTAGGTTGACTGGAAGAGCCAGATTTTTTTTTTCTTCCCCCTCCTTGAAAGAGGTGTCAGTTTGGCCTGTTTCCTTTTTCCAGTGGAGATCCTGCAGGGCTTAGTGAGCGGAAGCCTCGGAGGCGCCCTGGGGCCAGCCGCCGGCAGCCCAGCCGAGCAAGACTGCACTGTCGGCCCTGTGTCCTTGCCGCGGAGAGCAGAGACCTTTGGAGGGTTTGACAGCCATCAGATGAATTCTGCGAAAGGTAAATGATTCCAAGCTCCTGTGCCTTTACCAGCAATCCAGACTCACACCCACGAAAAGAAGGCCTCCTGGCTCAAGTACATAGGTGGCTGCTGAAACACCCCAGAACTGCTGCACATTCAGTGTGAGTAACCAGAAAGAGCATCATGAGATCGCAGTTAAGCTGTAGCTACAGGAGTTTTCCTTCCCACCTACATGGGTAAAATGATTATTATCCATCACATACCTGCTACCAGGTGGCATCCCCTTGTTGGCATAGAAATAGACACCTCTTTGGGTGTTTTGCATTCTTTTTTCAGTCTGTTTCTCCACCTGGAAAACAAAGCATGAAAAAAAAAAAAGCGTGTGTGTGTGTGTGTGTGTTCACTTAGGAGGTGAGAAGGAAGAGGGAGACGACGGCCAGGACCTCAGAAGGACGGAATCAGACAGTGGACTGAAGAAGGTACTGCCCTCAGCTACGCTGGCTGCCCCACACTTCCCTGGGACTTCACATCTGGGAGCTTGTGTTGGGTGCCCAGCCTGCTATTTTCAATTCCTTCTGGATTGTCAGAGAAAAGCAGAGTTTAAGAACAAACAGTACGGATTGTTTTGAAAGATTCTCTTGTACAGACTCCCATTTCATTGGCTGCTTGGCCTTTCCAGGGAGTGGAGCACATGGCTTACACACCCGGCCCTACCACGAGTTTCAGTAAGAGGTCCTGTTTAAATGCTCCCAGCCAGCTTGATGTCTTCCCTGACCAAAGTCACCGTGGGCCTTGAAGCTTCACACTTCTTCATTCTGTGGCGTGGTAGAAGAAAATGGGAAGCCACAGCCCAACTCTGAAGCACTCTCACTGTGATGTGTTTTACGTTGTGTTTGTCCCTATTTTAAATGTACGGTTCTTTGTTCCGTAGGGGGCTAATGCTAACCTGGGCTTCCTGCTTAAAGGAAACAGTGAGGTAAGGACTTTGTGTGCTATTGTAAAGAAGTGGCATTTCTTAGCACTGTCGAATGAGGGGTACCGTACCATTTTTGCTTTGCAGTTTCAAATAAGATAGCTTTGGGCTGTAGTCTGTATGCTGTCCCTTTTTTTTAACCTTTCCTTTTGTTACAGTTCCAGGACTCCTTCTTGGTAATTGGCCAGTTAGGGTATTGCCCAGGGCTTTTCATCAGCCTGCATTGTTAGCTCTGCATGAGCCTGTGGAGGCTCCTTAGGGGTTTATTTCAGGAACAGGCACACTGCATAGAATGAATAACAACCCTTCCCAGAACGCAGACCTCATAGCCAGAACTACACAACTCGGACAGGGGCAGAGATTGTGGGTCAGTATAAATTGGGATTTCTTGTGCTGCTTTGAGAACTGTTTTCACCAAATACCCGAATCAGCTGTCAAGAAGCCCTGGTGTTCTGGTTAGCAGTCAGATTCTGCTGCTGGAGATAGGCTTTGCCCACCTGTCCCCTTCTCTCCTACTTTCCTCTTACCTAATCATCAAGGTTACCGAACCACACCAAGAAACAACCCCGCTCCCCTCAAGCCACTGCCCACTCGTTGCCACCCCATGTGTGCAGAGCAGAGCTGCCCCTTCGGGGTTTCCCAGCAAGTGATCAGGCCTGTCTTCCAGGCCACCTCTGAGTAGCTTTTAACAACCCCCCTTTCCTCTGCTCAGTGGTCACTGTTTGCACCAACCAGACTCTTCAAGGTCTGTGATTCCTGATGTGTGTGGCTTCCGTGTCTGCAGCCTGGCGTGATGCCCATGCTAGAAGCTAACCAGAGTGTGCTCTGAAAGGATGATCTTTGAGTTTTCTCTTGCTCTTAACATACTGCTTAAATCCCTGAGAAGCTTTATTTTAAATTCTTAAATTAAGGGGCACATGGATTTATGTATCCTTTGTCATAGAGGTCTAAAGAGTGGTGAGATCCTGGCAGAATCCTCTTAGGCATTTCTATCCACAAGTGAAATCCACCTGAGCTCAGGCAGACCGTTTGCTCTCTGAATCTGCTGCTTGAAAATCAGCTGCTAGTAGAACTTACTTTTGTCAACCTCTTCCTCTGAACGCGTGTTTAATGAGGAAGTGGAGGTAAGAAACCATTCGAGACCAATGTGCTTCCCTGGCATGTTAGTGCATTCTGCGCTGTAGGTAGTCGGCTAGGGTCAGCAGGTCTCGGGCAGCCCTCGCTCTTGGTTTATTAAGAATAAACTTACTGAGGAGTAAAAAGTATTCCTAAAGGAGCTCAGCCTAGTAACTTAAGTTTTCTCTTTTATTATTGTTTTTTGTTTTATAAGAGATAGATAGATGTCCATGGTAGGAAATGTGAAAATGTCTGAAAGTCTATCAAGTTTTAAAAAGTAAACACACCTCTCACTTCCCAGAAATCATTGCTGTTCTGCAAGTATATTTGATGTTTATACGTACTGCCTTTATGTCTGCACAGTGTAGCATGGTTGTCTGAGTTTGTATGTGTATGTACAGTATTTAAATAGTTTACACAATATGAATCAGTACTGCTAAAGCATTATAGCTTGGTCGTTTTTTGTTTTGTTTTTTTGGGCCTCTGGAAACACATAATCGGTTTGACAGAACAAGCTGTTTAAAAGCTCTAGATGGTGTTGTATAACTTGATTTAATCTTTCTAATCTTTTTCTACTTTTTACTTTTTGAATAATGCAGCCAAGAACACTCTTGCATGAGTGCGTTTTTTGCACCGCTCTTTGATTCTGTCCTCCGCGTGCCAGATCACTCTGTAGAAAGGAGGTTGTACAGGAGGTGTTTATCACTGCCTGTCAGGTAGGAGGGTGCCCATGCCCACCTTCCACTCACCAGCATGGAATAGTCCTGCTTTTTACTGAGGCTCTTTTGTTTCGATAACTTCAAATGATCTTTTTAATTTCCATTTGTTTGATTTCAAGTAAGGATGGATCATCTTTTGATAAGCTATGTCATTGGCTTTTTGTAGCTCATCTTTTCTAAATTGTTCCTCACCTAGTTTTCCACTAAGACATGTTTTTGTTTTGTGTTTTCTGCCTTACTGATTTACAAGAGCATTTTTAAACTACAGCTATTTTCCATTTGTCTTTGTGTTCACCTTTGGCCCTTGCCTTTTAATTTGATATGTATATGCTTCTATAGTGAAATATAGGAGGGGGGAATCTGTGGCTTTCCTGCATCACTGCCATCTGTGAAAAACCTTTTGCATTTTAAGATCCAAAAGCATTCTTTCCGTTTTCTTCTAGCACACTCCTACGGTTCAGTTTTACATTTAACATTTTAAGCCATTTTTACAGTTGTTTCTTTTGTATGTGAACCAGGTTCCCGATTTTTTTTTTTTAAGCAGTCATCAGTGGGTAATTTTTTCCCCACCTAAAATTGTTTTTATTTCACCTTGAGTTTTTTGGTTTTTCTTTAAATCATTTGGGGAGGGGGGGGGCTCGTACAACTCATATCACAATCCATACATACATCCATTGTGTCAAGCACATTTGTACATTTGTTGCCGCCATCATCATTCTTAAAACATTTGCTTTCTGCTTGAATCCTTCGTATTAGCTCCTCATTCCCCCCACTCCCTGCCCCCCTTCCTGATGAACCCTTGGTAATTTAGAAATTATTATTATTTTGTCATATCTTACACTGTCCCACATCTCCTTTCACCCACTTTTCTGTTGTCCGTTCCCCAGTGAGGGAGTTAAATTTAGATCCTTGTGATCGGGTCCCCTTTCCTAACCTACTTTCCCCGTAACCCTGCTGGTTTCGCTACTCTCATTATTGGTCTGAGGGGTTTATATGTCCTGGATTCCCTGTGTTTCCAGTTCCTATCTGTACCAGTGTACATCCTCTGGTCTAGCCATATTTGTACGGTAGAATTGGGATCATGATAGTGGGGGGTGGGGAGCATTAAAGAACTAGAGGAAAGTTATATGTTTCATCGTTGCTACCCTGCACCCTGAACTGGCTCGTTTCCTCCCCGAGACTCTTCTGTAAGGGGATGTCCATTTGCCTACAGATGGGCTTTAGTTCCCCATTTCGCACTCCCCCTCATTCACAATGATATGATTTTTGTTCTTTGATGCCTGATACTGATCCCATTGACACCTCGTGATCACACAGGCTGGTGTGCCTCTTCCATGTGGGCTTTGTTGCTTCTGAGCTAGATGGCTCCTTGTTTATCTTCAGGCCTTTAAGACCCCAGGCACTGTATCTTCTGATAGCCAGGCACCATCAGCTCTCTTTACATTTATTTATACACTCACTTTGTCTTCAGGGTCATGTCGGGAAGGTGTACATCATGGAATGCCAATTTAATAGAACAAAGTGTTCTTGCATTGAAGGAGTGCTTGAATGGAGGCCCAATGTCCATCTGCTACCTTAATACTAAACCTATAAATATGTGCACATAGATCTATTTCCCCATCCTCATATATATATTTATATATGTACATGCCTGTATTTAGAACTCGATAAATGCCCTTTGCCTCCTAGTTCTTTCCTCTATTTCCTTTTACTTTGCTCTTGTCCCACTATCATGTTCAGCCTTCATTTGGGGTTTCTGTAATTCCTTTCAGTTACATTGCCCTTGAATGATCAAGCCCTACCAGGCCTCCAACACCCTCCTTGCCATCGATTTTGGATCACTTGTTGTTCCCTTGTCCCTGAGTTTGTTAACACCCCTTTCCCCGACCTCACCTTCCCCCATATCTGCCCCGAAACTAGTGGTCCTGGTTTTTTTTTCCAGATTGTTTATTCTGCTTATCTTATCTAGATAGACCTGCAGAGATAATAATATGCACAAAAAACAAGACAGAGCAAAACAAAGCAACAAAAGAAAACAAAACAACAACCAAAAAAAAACAATGACCAAAAAAAGAAAAGCCTGTAAATAGTTCAAGGTCTGTTTGTTGACCTTTAGGAGTGTTTTCTGGTCGAATCTGATGGGCTGCCACGCCTGGCCCTAACGTCTATTTTTGGTATTCCTGGTTCTCGATTTTTTCTCCCATATTGAACCAAGTTTTCACTGGTCAATTTATTGACTACTTTGTCCTTTCCCACTGATTGGAAATACTATTTACATGGCATGGTCAGTGCTCACCGGTGCCAGTACCCTTACATTGCTCTGTCTGCCATCTCTGTGCCAGGCATTTTAGATGATGGAAGCATCATTTCTGATAGTACGTTTCAGTGTGTTTGCTACTTCACTACCTATGCCTGCTGGTTTTCATAACTGCTTACAATTTGAAAATATTCATTAAAATTCAAGCACCCCTTGGAATATTTTTTTTAAATTATCTTGCAACTAACCACTTGTGAAATGGTGCGATAAAGTCTCCCTGTTGGTGTTTTGCAGGTCATCCAGAGCATTGTTAACCTCCACCAACTTCTTAGCACTCTACAGGTACGTGGCTCATCTTTCACTTTTCACTTACCTATTTAGAGGACACCTTAAAGGGGATATTGTTGACCTACATCTTTGCTTAAAGTTAAGGGGCCCCCATGCTAGGAGATAGTGACTCTCATGGTGACAAAAGTTAGAAAATGAAGTACTTAGGGTACCAGCTACATTAAACCAATGCCACCCCCTTTGAGTTTCCAAGACTGTCACTGTTTATGGTAGTAATAAACCTAGTCTTTTTTCTGAGTAGATGCTAGGGGTTTCGAACTGCTGACCATGCAGATCTCAGCCCAACTCATAACCACTGTACCACTAGGGCTCCCTCACTATCTACACTATTAGAGTGGAATTGATGAAAAAGTAGTTGACAACAGGTACTATCTGATAGCCAAGCTACACAGCACAGAAGGTACTCACTTGAATTTGTGCTTAGGGTGGGTGTGAAATTATGGTGACTCCTGCCAGTGGTGCCAATCAGGTTAAGAGACCTAAAACCACCTGTTCCCAATGGCTAATTGTATGGTGCACAATAACTCCCACTCCATATGTGAGCTGCATCCTGTGGGAAGCCCAGCTTCCTTTCCCTGTCAAGTTCTTACTCCAGGTGCCCATGTGGCCACTCTCGCATTCCTAACCACCTGGGGCCTGGTCAACAGATGCCAGCCACAGTCTCAGCACTCCCTGAGACCAGCTGGGACAAGTTTGGGACCTTCCTCCGTTCCCACCCTCATGGTTCCAACTGCAAGCTCAGGAATCCACATGACTCTACTTCAAACTAGCTCCCCCAACAGCTTGTCCGTTTTCTGAAATGACTCACAAGAGTCGCAGGAAGCATACCTGTAAGAGCAGCGTTCTTATAACAAAAAAGGGATACAAACAAAGAAATGTAGGAGGCAGGCCCAACATGGGACTCCGAGCAGACATTCCAGTCCCTCAAGGTGAAAGGCCAGACTTCTATCCAAAGAGCTTCCCAATCAGGAAGTGCCCTCTAAGGCTGGAGACTCTTAGTGACTGCATCCCACGGCCTGAAATTCTCATCGTGACTCCTGAGGCCTATGAGCATCTGGCCCCCAGGTTACCTCTCTTGATCTGTCTTGTTCATAAGCTCTCCGCCATCCAGGAACAGGAAAGGCTAATTCACATTCTGCACCTCACAGTGGCCCTCCCACAGCAGCCACTGTTGAGTACCATATATACTCGTGTATAAGCCGAGTTTTTTAGCACATTTTAAATGCAGTTTTTGTGGTAAAATTAAGTGCCTCAGCTGATAATTGGGCCAGCTTATACTCGAGTATATATGGTACCTCCCGGGAATAGTCTCCAACTCCATTCACCTCTCCTCCTGGAGATCTATTGTTTGCCTTTGAGTTGATTGTGACCATAGCCATCCTACCTCCCCGACCTCATACACACGCATAGATGTTCTCTCACTGGCCCCAGCCCAGACAATGCCGATGACTTCTTGTCATCACGTGGTCACATCTTTGTACCTTTGACATTCCTATTAGCCCGACTGCTGACTTTCCCCGGGTACATGTAGACTGACCAGCGTCAAGTGGTGATGCGACCTGCCCTGTGGAGCCAGGAGGAGGGCTCACCTCCTGGGCTGGAGTTTCAAGTCTCCTCCTCTGCTGCTCTCCGCAGGGGGTGGTGTTACAGCAGGACAGCTACATTGAGGACCAGAAGCTGATGCTAAATGAGCGAGCACTCACGCGGAGCTCCTCCCGCCCCAGCTCCCTCATTGAGCAGGAGAAGCAGCGCAGCCTGGAGAAGCAGCGGCAGGACCTGGCCAACCTGCAGAAGCAGCAGGCCCAGCACTTGGAGGAGAAGCGGCGGCGCGAGCGAGAGTGGGAGGCGCGGGAGAGGGAGCTGCAGGAACGTGAGGCCCGGCTGGTGCAGCGGGAGGAGAAGGTGCAGCATGGGCAGCAGGACTTGGAGAGGGAGCGGGAGGAGCTCCAGCAGAAGAAGGGCACGTACCAGCATGACCTGGAACGGCTGCGTGCTGCCCAGAAGCAGCTGGAGCGAGAGCAGGAGCAGCTGAGGAGAGATGCTGAGCGCCTGAGCCAACAGGTAATGAAAGCCAGGTGTTGTCCCTATTGCCATTGGCTTCCCAACCTACCCCCACTCGCCATTCAGAGCCAAGGGCTGCTCCTTACCTGCTGTGGGCCAGCCACAGGAATGGCTCTGACAGTCAGGAGCCTTCTGTGCGCTGGAGACCCTAGAAAGGAAGCGGAGGTTTAAGCTTTTTTTTTTTTTTTATCGTTTTATTAGGAGCTCATACAACTCACAATCCATACATACATCAATTGTGTAAAGCACATTTGTACATTCATTGCCCTCATCATTCTCAAAACATTTGCTCTCCGCTTAAGGCCCTGGCATCAGCTCCTCATTTTTTCCTCTCCCTCCCCACTCCCCTCTCCCTCATGAAACCTTGATAATTTATAAATTATTATTTTGTCATATCTTGCTTGTCCGATGTCTCCCTTCACCCACTTTTCGTTTGTCTGTCCCCCAGGGAGGAGGTCACATATAGTTCCTTGTAATCAGTTCCCCCTTTCCAACCCACTCTCCCTCTACGCTCCCAGTATCACCACTCACACCACTGGTCCTGTAGGGCTCATCTGCTCTGGATTCCCTGTGTTTCCAGTTCCTATCTGTACCAGTGTACATCCTCTGGTCTAGCCAGACTTGCAAGGTAGAATTCGGATCATGATAGTGGAGGGGGTGGGGGGTAGGGAGGAAGCGTTTAGGAACTAGAGGAAAGTATTTTTCATCGTTGCTGCATCGCACCCTGACTGGCTCGTCTCCTCCCCGAGCTTTTTTTAATTTAAAGACACTGAAAGCAGGGCAGCCCGGTGGTGGGATGATGAACCTTTCCTTTGGGCAGCTCTGACTGGCTGATGGGGACAATGGAACTTAGTGGGGACTGACATCTCCCTCTGCCCGCCCCCCTCAGCGCTGGCTAGGGTTGCCTCTGCAGCCTGTGTGGGAGAGCAGGCAGCCCTACTCTGTGGCTTGGAGGAGCCTGTAGGCTGATGGGGCAGCACCCCAAGGACATAGGGAGCCCCATCCCGGCCCAGCAGTAAATGGCCGTGAGGACCCGTGAGGGAGAGGGGAAGGGGAGGGCAGGCTGCATCTCGGCTGAATTACTGACTGGCCATCCCCTGGGGGACTTCAGTGATGGAGAAAGAGTGTGTTTGGTGACGTTCCCTGGTCATTCTAAATAGAGCATACGTTCCCAAACTTACATACACCCTGTTTTCAAGAAAATCATGACTCATCGCCGCCGCCGCCCCCCCCCCGCCACCTTGAAGCAATTAAAATCTTTGAAACTGTAGCCCCTAGTCCAGGATAAAGTGTGGGCATCTGCTTTTGCAGTCCCCCTGCTTGTCCCTGCTTTGAGAAACACCGAATTCACAAAGACCTACCTCTTCGTCGAAATGCCCATCTCGTCGTCATTTAGTAGCAAATTAAACCTATTGTCCACAGGGGGCACACTGAAGTCCCTGTAGAGGTTTCAAAGAGATGATGGAAAGCGGCAAATGGTCCCATTTCACTCTCCACACACACACACACACACACACACACACACAAATGGTCCCATTTCACTCTCCACTGATCTCTACACACACACACACACACACACACCCCGAATTCTCTGGGCTTTGGCACAGGAAGGATCCAGCGACTGAGGCCAGGCTTTCCCAGTTTCCCTTTGCGTAGGACCTGGGCGTGAGCCACTCTTCCACTCACCCTCTAACTTCGGCAGGCTCTTACAGGCTCTGCTTGCAAGAATCTTCTAATCCCCTGTCTTGCTGCATGTCCTTCTGGGTCGGCTCACCAAATGCACTATGCCTCTGCTTTCCAGTAGCCGGAACACCACAGGAGGGTGACTTTGACAACCAGAACTTGTTTTCTCACTGTCTGGGAGGCTGGAAGTTGGAATTCGGGGCACTTGCTCTAGAGCAGTGGTTCTCCATCTGTGAGTTGCGACCCCTTTGGGTCTCCCAATTCATGCCAGTAGGAAAATTACAATTATGAAGTAGCAACAAAAATAATGTTTTGGTTGGGGGTCACCACCACATGAGGAACTGTATGAAAGGGTCGCAGCATTAGGAAGGTTGAGAACCACTGCTCTAGAGGCAGCCTTTCTACCCTCCCCTTGTCTCTGTGCTTCTGCTCCTGGGCGTTCTGCATGGGACTTGGCATCTCTTCCCCTTTGCTGCTTTTCACTTGCATGATGGATCTTGTTATACCTCAGAAGCCTTGGGAATAAGACACTCCCTACAGTAATGTTGCCACATCATAGCAGGCACCCCCCCCCCCCCCAATTGCCTCATGGGATCATAAATAGGCATTGAGGGTAGGATATTTGACACACATTTTGGGTGGAGGAACAGTCAGTCCATAAACAAGCTAGCAATTCTTCATGATACTGATTCAAGTGCATATTATGATAAACAGTGGTAGTGGTAGCTCCTCCTGGGGGAGAGCTCCAAACACGATGGAGCCATTTCTAGCCATACACATAGAGTTTTCTAAAGCCCAAGGACGTGGGTAGACCCCCAGCAGACAGTTAGTTTTGAGTTGGCCGGCCCTTCTTGCATGGGTGCATGGGGGGCTGCCAGCCTCCAGCTAAAGCCTCTCCTGCACCTGTGCAGGTCCCCCTCCAGCACCAGAAGGTGATGAAGATTCCGTCGTTCTGTGCCAGCGCCGAGGAGCCCCCGCTGACCTCCACACATCCACTGCCAAAGTCAGGGCTACTGGACTCGGAACCCACAGTGTCCCCCAAAAGGAACAGCATCTCTCGGACACACAAAGACAAGGGACCTTTTCACATACTGAGTTCCGCAAGCCAGACAAGCAAAATGCCGGAGGGACCCAGCCCGGCCCCTGCACCCGCCTCCACCTCCACCTCCAGCCGCCTGTTCGGACTGTCAAAGCCGAAGGAGAAGAAAGAGAAGAAGAAGAGGAGCAAAGGCAGCCGCGCGCAGCCTGGTGAGGACTCTGGCTGCCTGGTGTCTGCAAAGGGGACACTGCCCGGGCAGCCATCTCAAACGGGGCCCCGGCGAGGGGGTGGCAGCTGAATTGTCATCTTTGTTCCCAGACCAACCTGCTCGGTTGGATTTAATGCCAGCACGCTACTTGACCCATATTCAAGGGCCCACTCACTGTGCACAACCCAGCTTTCCCTTCTTTGAGGCACTTAGTCCAGCTGTGGCAGCCAATCCCTGCTGTCGAGGCCTAGCGCAGCCATTGCCATCAGCAGCCAGCCTTTGGGGAGCACTGCCCAAGACCCAATTTAGTCATCACAGTGGCTAATGAGCCAGCGATCTCCCCTCGGAGAAACGAAGCAACGGAAACGTAGAGAGATGGGAGAGAGGGTCAGAGTCACTGGGTCTGGGAGGCACCCCACCAGGCTGGGACCTCCAGTCCTTCTGGCTGGGATGACTCTCTCCCTTCCATGTGGGAGGCTATTTCCTAAGTCTATTTGGAAACAGAGTGGCATGGTGTTTAAGGCATCTGCTGTTAAGGGAAAGGTCGGCAGTTAGTCCCCATCAGAGGCTTTGGGAGGGGCAAGGCCTGGCGCTCCAGCCTCGGAAGCCCTTGAGCCCCTTCCACTTTGTCCCTGGGTCACTCTGAGTCAACTCCACGGCCCAGAACAAGGACACTTAAAAACATGCGTTCTCGTGCTTATGTAAGTGGGAATCCGGCAGCAGAGGCTGTCACCCCATTTCCTCAGTAAGCATCGACACCCAGCAGGCGAGCCACTCTGAGTGGGAGGAAGCTCGACACCCCCAGAGCAGCTTGGGCTCCCGCCCTCCCCCTGCGCCACAGACTTGACGGGCAGCCGAGGGAAAGGCCGCCTCCCAGGACCTTGTCTACTGGACTTGGTTTTCATTCTTGGTTTGCCTTTTCCAGATGGCCCTGCCTCTGCAGTTCCAGCCGAGGGAGAAGAGATCTTCTGCTGACCCACCTCCTCTCCACTGAGGCCACTGCCTCCTGATCCACGCACCACCATCCTGCCCCCCCTCCGCTGCCTGTGTAAGCGCCTGACCACCAGCAGCAGAGCCTCCTGAGCTGCCCGGCTCCTGCTGGGAAGGAGCGAGTGTCTGCAGGCCCTGCTGGCACACTGGGCCGGGCTGTGCTTTGGCCATGAATTGTGACCGCTGTGGCCCCACAGGTTGGAGCTGGCCCTGTTAAGGTTGTCACACTGCCAGCAGTGAAGCACCCCCAGCTTGCCTGTGATGGTTTTGAATACGCCAGGAATCTCTGACCCAAAAGTCTCCCAAAATACCACTTAGTGAGGTCCAAGCCCGGTGCGCTCTGTCGCCACGGGGACCCAGCTCTGTCCCAGCAGCAGAGTCAGGGCTCCTTTTGTTCATGTACAGTGAGTGACCCATTTGCTTATCCACGAGGGAGACCTGACAGGCAGTCTGGCTAGCTCTGCTCAGCCCCCGGGGATGTCTGGCCCTGGCCAGCGAGCATGTGGACGGTCGTGGCTAGTTCTCAGCGGTTCCCCCCTTCAGCATGTGTTGGCCGCCGCATGGCAGAGGTGACAACAAGCATGTGAGAGCCACTAAGACAAGACTCGGTGTGAGAAGCACATGATCAGCACCACCTTGACCTTAGAGTCTGGAGGCATTTAAAAAAAGAAACAGAAGGAAGAGAAAGTATTTAATTTCATCGTCAAATCCAGAAGAAATCATTCTGACTTTTAAAGACTTCCCACATGGTCTGGGCGCATGGGAGGTAGAGAGACTGTCTTGCCATTAGCCCTTTGGTATGACACTTTTTGGTTGTCACCCTTCAGAAGTGGCCAGGGCCTTTGGCATTCTTCTGAGCCCCAGCACACATGCCATTGTCACACACCCACTCTGGTTCCCTTGGGCCTGGCAGGACCAGGCAGGCACTGCACTCTGAGGCGTCTGCAGTCCCGCCCCTACGCCAGGATGCCTGGCCACGAGGTGGGTCTGCTTATAGGTGTCCACCAGTACAGACCAAGAGAGGAACTGGCCAGAAAAGGCCCCACTGTACTTCAGGAGGCTGCGACAAAAATTGGTTTCTTCAAAAGAAAACACGCTGAAGGCCCACAGTTCTTAGTTGTACCCTGCCCCACTAAAGATGCCGGGAATGCTGCCTTCCGTCTTGTCTCCTGTTGCTCTGCTGCCTCTCTGCTCCCTCTTCCCACTGTGCTCTGGGGTTTGTTGGCTGTGGACCCCTCGCCGGCTGACTGTGCAGGCCAGTTGCGTCCCTGGTGAAGAGCAGTGGCCCCGGGAGCCCTTCTTGCCACCCAGCTTCAGCTCGCCAGACCCCGGGGACATCCTGGGAGGTTGTGTGCTTCAGCTGTTGGCTTCTGGGTCCTGTATCCTGCCCCACAGGCGCACGGGGCCTTGGACCAGAATTCTGAACAAAATCAGCCAGATCTGTAACCTGGTGCTTATGGGTGAATTGCAAGCTGGCCTTGCAGACAGAGATATTTATCTTGCAGTTTATTCGAGAGAGGTCTCATTTTAAAATGTTAGCTTAGGTTGTTTTATTTATTTCACGTGTGTATTGTTTTCAGGATGAGCATCCCAACCCAACGGTTTAGACCATCTGATCAGTGCAGATGTGTCGGCATCACAGCAAGCACCTCTTTCCACGTGCCTTCCAGGCCCCGATGCCCCATGTCCTTCCCTGCTCCCACCACCTCGTTCTGTAGTCAGGGGGTGCCTCCTGCCTGGTCGGAGACATCTGCTGACGCGTGTCCCAGTGTTTTCAAAGCCAGTGGATTCTCTCTGGGAACCAGGATCCATTCACTCCCCACCCCACCCAAGGCCCTAAGCCACATAAGGTGAAGCTGCCCCATCCACCTCTTTCCGAAAGCCACATAAGGTGAAGCTGCCCCATCCACCTCTTTCCGAAAGCCAGCCCTGCCAGGGCTCCCCTGCTCTGCCCCCAAGCCCAGCTCTGGGCTTTTCTCTGCCCCACATCCCCCTGAAGGGCAGGGCCGGGGATTCTTGTCCCCTTGTCAGGAGAGCTGCAGGAAGAGTAGGACCCCCGGCCTGGGCCGCCTTCCTCCTCCCTGCAGAGATGTGGGCCGGCCAGCCCAACCTGTAGGGTGGATTCTGAAGTGTCCCAATTGGCCCACGTGTAGCTTAGAGTAGTTTATAACTGGATGTGTGCGTGCCCCCCCACCCCCCAACAGTCACCCAGTTTGGTCAGATTCTGATATGATAGACAGGGCTGCGAACCACGCCACCCCAGCTGCATCTAAGCCTGGAGGCTGTGGGGCTGACTGCTCCCAGCACCCCCACCTCCCTGGGTCTGGGCCTGTGCCAGGGGGCTTCACAAAGTTCCAGGATCTTCTCATCCCGTTTTCATCCAGGGATTGTTGCTGCTTTCACTGCTTGTGACCTTGAGACCTGGGTGTCTCTCTCCCCCATCCCCTCCCCCTCCTGTGAGAAGGGCGCTTTCTTGGTGGGGACTCAGATCCAGGTCCAGGTGCCTTCTCCCTGCTGGGAGCCAGGTGTCTCCCAACTTGGATTGTGCTTCTGTTCTGGAGGGCATTTGTCAGCATTCTTTGGAGAGAGCCCCCTGGAGAGACCCACACACCCCCCCAGAAGGGTTTAGGCCTCTGCTCTCAGACCCTCTTGGGCCCACCCACGGGCCCCAGGGCAGGATGGGCGGCCCCACGCACTTTAGCTGCTCTCACTGCTGGCTTTGTAGGAGACAATCAAATAAGGAGCTTTTCTTCTCTGAAACGCAGAGGGTGAGCGAGTCAATTGCCATAGATCTTCCGGCCTCTGCCAACATTGCTTCCCCGTGAGAGCTCTTTGTAGGCAAGAAATCGCTAGTGAGCTTTTGTTTTACTTTGTTTTTAAGGTACAAACCCCACACCCCACCCCTCCATGTCTCAGGGTGATTCCACTAAATGTCATCCCTTGGCGCGTTTTCTCTTCGGGTGGTTGGTACCTTTCTTGGTGGGGTGGATGTAAGGGACTAAGCCTTCCTTAAATGAAGGCGAGAACCTGCACCTGACCAGTAAGAACTGAACCCAGAAGCTGCTGTCAATCAAAGTGCTTTGTACACTTAGCTGTAAGGCTACTCCCCGCCCCCTACGTGCTCTCTCATCCCAGTATTTAAGGTTTATATGTAAACACCCTCTGACTCTGAACTGTGGCCCCTCTCAGCCTCAAGGGCCAGGCCTTCCTGGACAGTGGGGTCCATGGCCGTAAAGAGGGTGCCCTGGAGGTGACAGTGGACAGTGCAAAAGCATTTCCGCCCTGCCTGCGCAGGTCCCATGAAGCGGGAAGTCAGAGCAGTGGTGACCCCTGGCAGAAGAGCTTGCACCCCACTGCCTTCCAGCATGGCCACGTCTGCCAAGGCCCCCGGCCCGATCCAGCCTTGCACTGACTTATCCTCAGAGACAGCAAGGCAAAGGGTTTGCTGTGGTTTGGGTCTTAATATTTCTCTCTTTCAGTGTAGCATAACATTCCTAGTTATCCAGAGTTTTGGAATCTACTGCCTGCTGGCCAGGTTTCTCAAATGAAAAGTATTTTAATGCTGCCATGCAAGGAGGGAAGGGGGACGAGGAGAAAACAGAGGCATCTTTCCACGAACTTCTCTCATTTAACTTGTCAAAAGGTTGACAGACAGCCCATGAATTATTTCCCTGTCACACCACGATCTAAAGATGGGCAAACCCCACTGGCTAAGAGCTTTCCTGTACATTGCAGCCTGTTCTGCAGCCCAGCCTGTGCTGTGAAGTCCTGGCCACCGGACTTGTAGCAAACGGGAAGGCAGCTGCCTCTCCCTGGCTCATGCAGGAGACCGGCCCGTCCACTTCCCATCTTCACCCAGCTAGCCTTCCCGTGGCTTCGTAGCCTCCCTTCTGGAATGGGCAACATGTAAGCACCAGCCAGGACCCGTTACGTGATTTGCCTGTGGATACAGTTCAGCCTTGTGGTTTCCTATGTTTAAGTCACCCGTGTGGGGTGCACTTGTCCTACGGCGCTAGGACCTGCAGGAGGGTAATTATAATACACCTCATACCTCTGCTTTCATTTCTTGGTGTTCAAATGCTATGTGAGCATTTCCGTGCTAAATTCTATTAAAGAAAAGGATGGGTCAAAACCCACATGCTGTATATTAATTTGTAATTATGTACAAAGTGAAGCAGTTTTAAACTAAAGATGGTGGGTTGTTTTGGGTTTTTTTTTCAGTGTGTTTCCTGGAATTTTGGCACAACATACTGGATTTGTATTTTATTTATCTTCCTTTTTAGTTATCAGCTTCAAACTCTTGTAAAGTGCCCCTCAGCCCTTACAAAATAAATTTCCTCTGAGTCCTAACCTTTGTTGCCATTTACTCTCGTCCCTGTGGGCTTACTGGGGAGAGTGCCCAGAGTGTGCTGGGTGAGGGGCTGACCACCCCTGCCTCACGCACTGCTGGGGGCACGCTCTCTGCCCCCTTTAAGACGACGGGGATCCTGGCTCCACACTCGGGGGCTGATTGGTGGATTGACCGATCGCATGAGAGTCAATGAGTTTTTACAGAACCGGAACGATGCCCAGAGAAGTCTGTGCTGCAGCTCCCTCGGCTGATAGATTCTACCACATCAAGAAGGCTCGTTTTCCTTTGCCAACGTTCACCCACAGCCCACCTTCAAACAAGAGCAGCCGCCAGAACCAATTCCAGGAGGAAACCCTTGCCGGTGGGCAGCTCCCCAGGGCTGGGCTGGGCTGGCATGGTCTCCATTGGGACCCACTGTTCTCAAGAAACCTACTACCAACTCATAGGGACCCCGTATGACATGGTAGAACTGCCCTGGGTGTTTCTGAGACTGTAACTCTTTAAGAGAGCAGAAAGCCTCATCTTGCCCCTCAGAGGTGGCTGGACAGTGTTGAACTGCTAATCCTGCAGATCACAGCCCAGTAACCTCCACACCACCCATCACTGGCCTGCTGGCTAAGCAAACCCCAGCTCCTCCCCTAGTTGCTGGCGTGCGTCCTACTTCTCCAAGTCTTGTAAAAAGACCCTGAAGTCCAACTGGGTGTTGGGGAGCTGACACCTAGTGTCAGTCATCCAAAGCATGTGGGCAGAGCTGAGGTCTCGTGCCAGCTTCCTGCCCCTCCCACCAGCCCTCGGAAGAAAAGCCCTTCAGGGCGCCCTGAGTCTTGCCTGCCTTTTCTGCCAACTTGGAAGTGCACAGATTTCTTCTCAGAGCCGTCGGTAGCCCTGGTGATGGCTGCCTGCCCCTGCTCCAAGCCAGGGAAACACTGGTCTCCTTTCACCCACTCACTGCCCCCCAGCACCACTGACATTTCTGAAGGCCCTGTCCCCTGAATAGCCGGCCTGGCCTGGCTCCAGGGTGACACCATCCCACCGACGACAGGGCAAGGAGACAGTTCCCATGACCTCGGCCACAGTTGGCTCGGTGCCAAAGGCAGGGAGCTGCTGTCTTGGACGCCTGGAAAAACCAGAAGGTTCCATTCTCTTCCAAAGAGGCACAAAGTGCTGAGGATTCCACGTTGAGCTCTTTGTGGGCCGCTGAGGGGAACCTCAGCTCCACACAGAGCCAACCATGGGAACGTGGCCAGTTGGAGCGCTGCCCGCTCCCATGGGAAGTCTGTGGCCTGTGGCAGCCTTTGAAAACTAGCTTAGGTGGGTCTGCAGTACCCTCTGCTCAGGAAGAGGCTGCAGGTTAGAATCCCACCAAACACATCTGAACTGGAATATGGGAAGAACATTTTGGGGGAGACAAGTCACTGCCATTGAGTCCATGCTGGCCCAGCAAGCTGATACAGCAGGCAGTACTGCCCCTGTGAGCTTCCCAACCTAACTCGGCAGGACTAGAAGGCCGCCCGTCGCCCACAGAGCGGCTGCTGGTTGCGAATTGGTGACTTTGCAGATTGCAGCCCCACACAAAATCGGGACTTTAGGAAGCTGCAAAGCCGGGCTGGGAAAGAGCGCTCAGAGGAGGACACAAAAGCAGGTCTTGTGTGATGTCCCTGGAAGTGAAACCCTGGTGAGCCGGGCTGCCAGAACAGTTGCCGTTGTGCTGGTGGGAAAAGAACCCAGATTTAAATGTGTTCTCTAACCAAACTAAGCTCGCCGCCATCCGGTCGTTGCTGCCTCACTGTGCCCTATAAAGCAGACTGGAACTGCCCCTCTGGCTCTAAAGCTTTATGGAAGCAAAAAGCCGCCTCCTCCTCCCACATAGTACCTGGTGGATTTGAGCTCCTGACCTTGAGGTTAGTGGCTCAGCTCATACATAACCAACTAGGCCACCAGGATCCAACATGTTCCATAGAGTCTCTTTTATGAAACCTTAAACGAAACAAAGTCAGTCCCCAATGAGGGAAACTGCCAGCGTGCACACACTGCAGGGGCCAAGGGAGTCCGTCGACTCGGGGCCACCACCGGGCTCATTACCTATGGTAGGAAGGAAACACAGGACATCGGGATTTGTTGCGGTCACGACTCGCAGGACTGCCCACACAGGGAAAGGACCACGATGGGGAGGCACGCACAGCTGCTGATTGAAGAGCTACAGGACTGACTCCAGGATTTCAACCTGGCCACAAAGTGGCTGTCCTCCAGTCCCGACCCCAGCCTCTAACTGAAAGGACATAGCATGGGTCTGACAGGCTAAAGTAAATGCCCCTGCTAGCTCACCTTCAACATACTCTTCCTGGGACTGACCCAAGACAACACTCACTACCACTAAGTCAGCTCCACCTCAGAAACCCAACAAGACAGCCTAGAACTTTCCCTGTGGGTTTCCAAAGCTAACCACGAGAGAAAACGCATCTTTCTCCCTCCGAGCAGATCGTAGTTGCGAACTCCTGGCATTGTGGTTAGGAGCCCAACATAGCCCCGTATGCCATCTGGGCACCTTAAAGCATCTAGACACAAAACTCAGGGCCATCCGGTCCATTCCGACTCATAGCATAGCTATTGCTCAAGCTCCCATTCTGAGCAGCCCAGTTTGTAAAAGGCTATGAATGGCAGTGACGGCCCAGAATGCAGGTGCTGGGTCCCCAGATAAATGAAGCCTCTATTGAATTCCTTCGGATCATTCGCCAAGGATGTAGCAGTCTTGACCTCAGGCAGAATGCCTTGGAAAGTAGATTACCGCCTCACTCCTCCTGCCAGCCCAGGGAGGGGCACTGTCTCTCCCAAAGGCTTGCCTGGGTGTGCCCCCAATGGTGGTCACCCTACAGGACCTCCTATTCACGAGCCATGCCCTCTCAGTCTCTTCCTGACTGCCTTGATTGAAAAGCCCTGGACCCAGCTTGTACTTAACGATGTGTGTGTCCAACCTTGGTCTTGTCAGTTCTGCTTCTCCCCGTGCCCCCGCCCCGCCCGGCCCCACCAGTCTCCAACGGCTTTATTTTATTGGTCAGTGTGCTCTGGAAGGAGACAGGACGTCATACTGCTTCCAACCCCGGAATAAGAGCTGTACACAGACAGGCACGGTGCCAGTGGGTCCGCGGGGACCGGACTGCTCTGTCCACCTCTGACTCGTAGATCCAGTCACAGCCAAGCCTTGTTTGTGGTCCACCAATTCCCCTGAAACCAGAGGCTGATTTCTTTCTCGGCGCTTTTGACCAGATCACGGCCATGAATGATGTTCCTGCCAACTTGAGTACAGACGTCCCCTCGGAGGGGGGCCTGGCTTAGAATCCGCTGGGTTGGTCTCTCCCAGCATCACCCCGCCCATCTTCACCACATGCAGCCCCTCCCAGACTTTGGCCACAATGGGTCCCGAGTTCAAGTACTTCACCAGCCCTGGGAAGAAGGAGCGGTCTTTCAGGTCCGTGTACCGCTGCTTCAGGTGTTCCTGAGGCCTTACTGAACCTCATGGCCACCAGGCGGAACCCCTTCTGCTCAAAGAGTTTGCTGCGCTGCACGCCTTCTGGCTTGACGGCGAAGAAGATGCGCTCATTGTCAGCTGGCCGGGGAGCAAGCAGGTGGCCGGATCCAGGGAGCTGGAGCAGAGACCGGAAGCGACCCCTCTTCGTTTGGACTCCTGTAGTCCCACCTGTAACAGTGATGCATTGATCACATCATGCCTTTGTGGCCCGTCCCCATTGTTCCCTGCCCTGTGTAGCCAACTTCCCAGTGGAGAAACCGTGCTAATGGCCTCCCGCCTCTGGATCGTGTGTCTCTTAGGGTTGTCTGTACCTTCTAAGACTCAACAAATGTGCTCCCCAGATGCTATTTGAGATTCGGGCCTCTAGCGCCCTAAAGCACATCTGAACTCCTGCAAGACCCAAACTGGAGTGGACGCTCCCGCGTAGCCCACAGCCGTCTACGAACTCAGCTCTTTGGAGTCTACGGTGAATGCACTGTGTGGCAGTGGCGTGCACCAGAATTTTCAGTGACTGGTTTTTCAGGAGACTGCCAGACTTTTCTCCTGACGTTCCTCTGGGGAGTTTCAAGCAGCCCACATTTGGACGGCCACACACTCAGTTTGCACCACTCAGGGACAGCCACACTGAGCTGCAGAGCCCGAGAAATAATGCTGGGGATCCCTTCTGCTGAGGAAGAAGGACCCCATCATCTTCCACCTCCACCATAGTTACTTACGGTTCTGGAATCTCTGGAGGATTCTTTTGCCTCCACCACCTTATTCAAGCGCACTGCCTCCGGCACCGTCAGAAGCTAAAGCCGAGGTCTATGGAACTACTCTATCCAGCCCCACCCTACGCCCACCCCTCCTTCCTCTGGAGGCCTGAGAGGAATTGCACTGGGGAATTGCCTTGGAAAGAAGTGTGTGCCCCAGACTTGGGGGAAGTGAGTCGCAGGCCACTCTAGCCTTCCCCTCCTGCGCCTGTGAGGTGCTTTTACTGCACCCACCCACCCCCGCCGCCCGCCCGTCACCACGTCCGTCCAGTAGTTTGGGGTCCCAGTCGCAGCCTCTGTCTCCCCCAGAGCCCACCGGGCCCCTCTTCCAGGTGGTGATTGCCTGTGCACACAGCTGAAGTTGGACGCCTGCCCTTGTGGGACTTTCCTTCTTGGGAAATTGTGTCTGGGCCCGACCGGAGGGTGGGGGCTGGAGGGGGATTCACAGCTCCCAAGGGAGAATTGGGGTGGAGGAGAGCGCTCCTAAGACTACTCCTTGGATTGCACCCTGCTCCCTGAACTCCCATCCTCAGCCACCGCCACTGCCCTCCCCCTCCCCCTTCTGAGTGGCAGTAGCCGGTTGGCCTCCTGGGCAAGCCCACTAGTTTGCTAACCTGGCTGTGGTCTCTGTGCTCAGGGGGACTTTGGCCATCTGACAATCCTTCCCGTACACACCAGCCGTCTGGGGAGCTGGCAGCCAGGCTCCCGCTCTGTCTAGGAG